TTTATGGTCTCATCTCGAGCAAACGGCACTTTGACTGATAACCCGACGAATGCTTTGCTTAATGTGCGCTTGCATCACGCTCTTAATGCAATTAGGGTCAGTTTACTTTTTAACTGAATCGGTTGCAATTTGAGGTTCTGCTGCAGGAGCCTTCCAATAAAGTGTCCATGCCTTAACTAAGCGGGCGCTCCATTCCCTCGTGCTGAGGCGACGTCAATGAGGGGAGTGTGATTCTTTCCTAGGGCTGACGACGCCTTGGCACTTGTACCCAAAGACAACGCATTCGCATCGCCTGTCTGGTTGCCACTCTTCGCTTTGGCAACTGGCTCTTCGGCTCAGTTGTCTTCTTGGCCGGGCCTTTTCTCTGCTGCAAAGCCTATTTTATGTTTTACTTTCCTCCGACTAGACTGTTTCGTGACTCATTGTGTCGAGTCGAGGCAGCAAATCCTTTTCACTGCCCCAGCCTGACTTCATGATATGCTTTAGGAGCCGGCTTCAGCCGGACTTTGGGTCTCCTCTTTGGTCTGCCCACTTTGAAGCCCCGGTAGACCTGTGGACCTCTGTCTCGTAGACACGAAGACGAATAGGGTCTTCGTAGTATCTTCTCGCTATATAGATTTGCTTTGACCACGTTTTCGCCACTTGGTCGTGCTGACGGAGGGACTTTGAAGAAGGTATCCAGTCCTGCGTTTTCTTGAAGCACAGGGCTGTCGACGCTTTACCGACGTCGCCAACGCATAGGGTCATCTTTGGCACCGACCTACAACGATTGTGACTCAGCGCCGTATCCTCATCCCTCATTCCCATTTCATATGATGATCACATTTCACATCTGGCCATCTTTGTATCTCAGTTTGTTCCAATGCACCCCAGCTGGGCCACTCATCGAGTTGGCTTGATGAAGCGTAAACACTTTCATCATCGGTTTGGCATCTCGTCTGTTGGGCTTAATGATCCCAATTGGTACCCGCACCTAATGGGCCACTTCAATCAATCCATGTCAGTTGCTCCCTCATGACCCCGATACTCCTGCCTTCGAGTCTTCTTCAACTTCATACTCGAGGCTGTTCGCATGACTGGCCCCGAACGAATGATGGAGTGTGCACCATAGCATCGTGTGTTTTGAAGACTGTCATGATAGATTCGCGGTATTTTATCTTTCATTTTATTTGTAGAGGCGTTTAAGGGGGATCCCTAAATTAGCCTCGCTGTACTCCGAGGAAAGATTGGCCTGAAGTCGTCGGCAGACCATCATACGAACCCGATTAGTCCATAATGAGATTTCGTCTGTCCTGTCATAGCAGACCTAGTCAGAGCCTGAAATCACCCTTCAGAAGACTTCATCTGTCCCGTAGAATTGGTCCCACCTCGTTTTCGCACCCTCAAAGAAGTTACATTACGCATCGAATCGTAGACTCGGCACATTGCCAGACGCTTCATCGGCATGGTCGTCGTTAATTTATTTTCTGTGATCTATGCTCTCCCTTCCATGCATCACTTTGTCATACTCGCTCGTTTAGCGAAGAATCCCCTTCCGAGAACTGAACGACAGCCTCATGCTTGCCACTATCCCAGATGCAGTTTCTGTTTCATCATTTATCACCCTCAATCGGCTTGCCTAGTTGCACCATTGAGTGTGTTTGGACCCGGACGCACGGTTGCTTGTGTGAACAAGTGGCCCCGACGAAGTGGACTGGAGTTGACCACTTGGCGTAATTAAGAAGTGACCTTTGATGGGGAACGTAGTACAGTTTATTAACCAGAATCAGGGGAAGATACGCTTTTTCCTACTCCGAGGATCTTTTGCACGATTAAAGGATTTCTCTCGCTCCCAGCGCCAATTGGTGCGTGGCCTCCCGCCTTGCATTCAGCCATCTTCCTCCACTAGCCTCTTCAGTCTGCTGGTTTCCTTCCAGATGAGCCCACGAATCACCTTGACCAGAAATTTCCTGTGAACAATGTCATGAAACTTGCCCACGACCCTTTCTTAAGTGGCTCACCAATTCGTTTTTCCCTGCCAGCCAGTCACGAGTGCATCTTCCCAAATGCACCCGGGCGAAATACAGTTCATTCGGCAACAACATTTCTCCCTGGCGATTGGATTCACATGTGCCTCTGCAAATGCGTCCAGTTAACTTGGCCCACTTCTAAAACTACCTGGGCCGACGTGGGTGTGATTCCTCCCCAAGAAACTTGGTTCCGCACAAATTCAGGCATCGGAGATGGGCCTTGGCGTGTGACCCTTGAAAAGGTCTGCATCCCCCATTTCCCTGTCCTGCGATTGAACTTTTCAGCTGGGAACCTACCTCATCCGTCTTTTCTGAGAATTAATGCACAAAGGGAGCAGATTTTGTAACTCTAAGTAGCAAATGTATGAAAAATGATAAATGAATTCAGTTTCAATCAAAGGTCTTCTGATAGCTTCGAGACCTGCTAATGTAAAATTCAAGTTTGCCCAATCCACACCGGCCCCACAAAAAACTGTGAATTAAGAGAGGTCTGGCCTATCTTGAAGGTCAGACCTGGCCTGTGATTTACTAGTTGGTTTCAAGTCTCCTTGAGGGCTTGATGACACCCAGGCGAGATCAAAATGGCCGTCAAGGCAGGATTATGAAGTTTCTTTAGGTGACCAAGCGAAGGCCACGCAAAATTTAACTGCGTTGTGGCGCCTCTTACTAATCTCCTCTTGGGATAAAACTATCGGGCATTCCATCACTTAAGGCGAGCCAAAGTGATTGTGCTTACTTCATTTCCTTGGGACATCGTCAAGTTCAGTCTTCAAGATTTGTTAAGACTGTGCGTATTATATTAACTCGGACAGCTAAAAGTGTTTGGACGCATTTACTAGTAAAAAGAAATAGAATGAGCTGGTCTGACAAGGTGTTATTCTGGTCAAACTTTAACTGTTGCCTCTCTTCCAGCATGCCCTGTTTATCTATTCCGCATTTTCGGCCAATATGTGTCAAGATGACCAGTTGCTTCACCCTTCTGCTGTCAGCTCTACCGAAACTCTGCTTCCCGTTCCGATAGCTATGCGGATCTGAAATTCTGTGTACTCCAGATGAGGTCACGGCCCACCACGAATTCCGTTTCTTGGTGGTCTGTCTTTTATGCAGGCTTCTGGAAGACAGGTTATCAATCGTGATTTGTTCAATGTCTACACGTCATTTCTACGTAATTAATAAACTTTTGAAGTCTTTTTGACCAATCCATCCAACATTCTGCTTCTTTTTTCTGTATTCTATAGTCGACCTAC